TGTTTTGGATTGTGAGTCGTGTCAGTTTGGGAAACACCATCGTGTTCCCTTTAGTTCTAGGGTTGATAACCGTGGGAAACACCATGGTGCAATCAACACATATGATTTGATGTAGAGGAAGAGGCCTGGCTGGTGCCTTTCACCTAATTGGTGCTGTTTGTGTGAGACGAATGGTGAGACTGCTTATCATATCCTTGTCTCCTGTCCTATTGCTAACAGTATTTGGGATTGGCTCTTCTATCTTTTTGGGTGCAGGTGGGATACTCCGATGAACTTGGAAAGGCTGTTTGATTCTTCTACATTCAGATGGCCAAAAAGAAGAGGGAGAGCACTATGGAAATGCACAAGGGCAGCAGTAATTTGGGTGCTGTGGGAGGAAAAAATTGAGAATTTTTGAAGAGAAGAAAAGATGCAAGGAAGAATTAATAGAAAGGATTTTGATAAAGGTAACACCATGGGTAAAATCTATGAAGTCATTTTCAGACTTTACAGTGGATGATATAGTCAGAAACTGGAGAGAAGTTGCTTCCTCTTCAGCTGTTAAGAAGAAGGTCTTAAAGGAATGGGAACCCCCCAAATCAGGTTTCCTCAAGATAAACTTTGATGGAAGCAGCTTTGGCAACCTGGGAAGATCTGGAATCGGAGGAGTATATAGGAATGACAAGGGGATTGTAGTGGGGCTGTTCTCAGGCCCTTTTGGTATGGGTGATTCCACTACAGCTGAACTAAAGGCAGTGGTCTTTGGGATTCAAAAAGCTAAGGAGTTGGGGGTGAGAAAGCTTGTTGTGTAAGGCGACTCCAAAGTAGTGATAAGTTGGCTAAGAAAACTGAAAAGGCACCCTGGCTGTTTAGAAACGATATCAAGAAGGTTAAAAGCCTCTCCAAGGACATGCAGTTATTATTTCAATGGACTCCAAGAGTGGCAAATGGATTTGCAGACCAGCTAGCAAAACAAGGGGCAAACAGGGATCATTGATTTTGGGCTCAGTTGTAAGGATGAAAAACCAAAAGTGATAGGTGGCATCTTAAGTTTTAGTGGGGTAGCCGAGGCTACTCATAATCTGTATTCTTTTCTCATTTTAATGGAACTCTCTTTTACTGATCCAAAAAAAAAGTTAGAAGAGGTATAGAGGTGGTGGATATGGCTTGCACACTATGCAATGGAAGTGTGGAATCTTCTAGCCATTTGTTACTACATTGTGATTTTACCTACTGGTTTGGATAAGACTGTTGGATTTGTTTGGCGTTAAAATGTGTTTCCCGGCTGATGTGAAGGGATTCATAGGGGCTTGGTTCATAAGATGCTTAAGCAGGGCTGGAAAATTAGCTTGGAGCATGCTCCCTTCAGCAGTTTTCCGGGCAGTGTGGTGCAAAAGAAATAATAGAATTTTGAAGAGAGACAAAGTACAAAAGAAGAGGTGTATAGAAGGATTTTGGGAATGGTGCATTCCTGGTTGGCAAATCACTCATTGTTCAAAAACGGACATTCATGTTCTGTTTTTGATCAAGATTTCCTCTTTGTAAGGAGCTTATAGTCTTTTTGGTTTGGGGCTGGTTGTACTGGGTATACTGGTTCTTTCCTCTTGTACAGATTCTCTTTGTACAGGGGTTTCCATGGTTGTATGGTTTTAAGATTATTAATGAAATTACTTTACCTTACAGTTTAAAAAAAAGTGATATATTATTGGTTTGGGTGTCAATTTTCCCCCCGACAGATGGTTGTCATAGAAATTTTGTTTGAGAAGAAGGATTTTATGGAAATTGCTACATTTGCAGTATGTTGACTACATGGGAGGAATGAAATGGACAAACTCTGGTGGACTTTTGAGGGTCTCTAATCTGAGAGGACCAAGGTGATGGTCAGAGTCAGTGAGATATATCTTTTATGGTTGGTCTGCTGTTTTGAAAAATTTCAACAATGTTACATTGCATGGCTATCTATGGGGTTCATCACTTCATCTTAGCTTTGACTGTAGAAGTTGCTATATTTGCAGTGTGTTGACTATTTGGAAGGAATGTGACAGACGAACTCTGGTGGACTTTTGAGGGTCTCCGACTTGAAAGGACCAAGGTGGTAAATAAGGTCCATGAGATATATATCCTCTATAGTTAGTCCACTGTTTTGAAATGGGGCGAGTCACTCAGATCTTGAATCAACTAAGTAGATCATCAACTCAGGGCCCAATTTATTCTCCAGATGAGTTGGGAGATGGGGCAGCTTGCACGCAACCCAGCAAACGGTGCAAACTACAGCTCTCAAGCCGGAGTGCGCAGGAGCGCCCTGTAGTTTTCTTCGCTGCTCTCAGCCAGCAAGCAATGGCTTGAGCACCTTTGTATGGGGTTAGGATGACTTAATCTATAGACCGTGGTCTGCCTCAGCTTTGACTGTAGAAGTTGTTACATTTGCAGCATGTTGACTACTTTGAAGGAATGGAATGGACAAATTCTGATGGACTTTTGAGGGTCTCCAACTTGAAAGATCAATGTGGTGGACAGAACTAGTGACATATATCCTTTATAGTTGGTCCACTGTTTTGAAAGATTTCAACAATGTTATATTTTATGGCTTAATATGGGGTTGGGATGAATTAATCTATAGACAATGGTCTGTTTCAGCTTTGGTATAATCTTACATCCCCTCCCTTTTATTGGTATAATTTTTTACATTATTTGCCAAAAAACAAAATTATTGGTAGAGGAGTCACTTTCTATTATGAACCTCTCCAAATTAAGGGGAGAAGAGAGTAAATCCCTTCAATATTTTTTTTTAACCCATTGTCACTCCTGGCTATTTTGAGTCTTGGGAAGGGTAGACTGTAAGAAGGTTTAAACCTCAGTTCTAATTGAGTTAGAATCTCTAAGAGGCCAGCAATTGCCAAGATGATCCTACTCAAATCATCACACATCTGGGTTGCCATGCATGCAGGTTTCACATATGTGTAATGTTCTGAAAATCGTAATCGTATCGTAAATCATGAGAAAATTGAATTGATTTGAATCGTGAATCATATCGTAAATCGTAAGATTATTTCTATTTTTTACAAATTTGTCAAAAAATTAAGTATACATATGCAAAAAGGCTAAATATATATTAAAAAAGTGTTATATCCTATATTTAAGTTTTATATCTACCATATATGTACCTAAAACAACAGAATTTACCACTTATACAATAGAAGTCTAAGATGATATAATCAAGTTTGACTTGAAAGTCAAATAATCCCCATACAATGGCTCTTTATTCAATCTTTGATAGAAAATAAACTCAATATATGGACTTAAATACTGTAAATAAATCAATTTCTAATAAAGTCTTTAAAACAAGTCACCCTTGACAAAACTAAATATAATCAAAACAAAAATGACAAAGTAGATAACTACTTTTTAATGGAAATGATTTGAATCACAATGATCATAGGAATCATATAAATCATAAGATTTATGTATCAAATCGTAAGTTTCAAACAAAAATTGTAAGATTTTTGCAGAAAAGGATTTATGTATAAGATTCGAACTGAAACCCTTGGGAGTCATGATTCAAATTGTAAATCGCATCGTAAACCATAAGATTTTAACAACATTAATATGTGACAGAAGTCGACTACTTGAAATTTTGAGACCCTAGAACTTATAAAGGTTTGGTTAATAAGTCCATAAAAGACTTGAAACTTTGGAAAAGAAGTAGAACCCAGTCTTCAGAATTCATATTTGTTAAACAGTATGAGTTCTTGTTTTTTTACCTGATGGGTGATCATGCTGTTTGTTATGATTATTTTTTAATGGTTAATTACCATTGCCCACTTGGTGGAAAAAAAGAGTAATTGATCTTTTCAAGCTGTAAAAAAAAAGAAGCAACATGGAAATAATTTGAAACCATTTAGGCTCCATCTTGTTAACTGCTTTTATTCTCAACAAATTTATTCCTTATCTTTGGTAGGTTCTCCTCTGAAGATATATCTTCACAAAATCAAGTGAAAGCATCTGTACAACGGAAGATCCGGCAAAGTATTGCAGATGAGGTTCAGATTGCAGCTGGCCTTGCACTTTTCCTTGCTTTGGTATTAGATATGTAAAAGCATGGTTTTAAGAGAAGAATGGCAGGACAAGTTTCATGTGTCTGAACCCAAATGGTTGGGTTATGGTTGAGCTAAGTTTAATTGAGTCATGTGCTGATATAAGTTCCTCTATGTTGCAGTACCCAGGCCTGGAACCAATTTTGGATGATCTGCTACCAAAGAAATCACCTCTGATTGTTGCAAAATGGTTTATCTCTCATATCTTTTTATTTTCTTTTCTTAGTTCGGATAACGATTTGTTAGTCACTGATCAGTTTAATATTATCTTAGTTTCTGATCCTATAGAGCTGGTATGGTCCTATTTACTGAAGATGGCTTGTGACCGTTTTTATAGTTTAAACCTACTTGCAATTGCATAAGAAGAAAGCTTTCTTTATTCATTTTTTTAAGAGAGGTAACAATTTATTCATCAAATAAAGTGTTTTCTTTATTTTGCTTTGTACTTTAAGTTGTTTGGATACATTTGCTTACTTAAATTATTTGGCAGCTTCCAAGGGATTCTTGCTGTTGGCTTAGTAGTGGATGAACTTATTGCAGAGTTCAAATAATTGAGGTGGACGTGGAGAAGGTGGTGGAGAGAATGTAGGTGTTGGGAGCAAGCTTAGTGGGTAGATTTGTTGTTATAGACATAGATGTGGAGAAGGTGGAAGTATGGGCGATTATAGAGTGGGGGAAGGAGAAGCTAAAGGGAGTGAGGAAGCTAAACAGGGGTTTATTCCTATTTATGTTTCACAGCAAGGAGATGGCAGAGCTTGTTATGAATCAAGAGAGAGCGAAGGAGAGGGAGCTCGATCTTAGACTTGATTGGTGGTTCCCAATGGCTGGAGCTTTGTCATATCAAAGAAAGAAAAGGGCCGTATGGATTTATGTAGCTGGTATCCCTTTGCATGCTTGGAGTATAGTGACTTTTGAGGCAATAGGAAACCATTGCAGGGAGTTCCTGCAATTTGATGATAGGGATAGATCTTGGGACAACCTAGACTTGGCAAGAATTCTAGTAGCGGTGGAGGAAGTTTCAGATGTCCCAAATCTGGTGAATTTGATGTTCACAGGTGATGTGTATGACCTGAGGATTCTGGTCGAAGGTGACTGATGGTGCACGATCTGGACGTTCCTAGATGGATGGCAACTCGGACGTTGGTCTGCTTAGTTGGCCGGTCAAACTGCAAGGAAAGTATGCTTCAGAGGACCCAAGGTGGTTTACCCGGCATGGACACTCCGATAATCGCGCGTACCTTGTAGCATTGGGGTTGGAGTCCTTATATAGGTGAGCTGCCGTAAGTCTTACGAAACACCTATGAGATCCCCGACCCGTGCTACCAGGAGTCCGTTCCGCACTCGGAGGTGGACTTCGTGTGAGCTGATAAGGCTTATCGAGTCCGTCTGATCTGGGCGGGATAAGGATAAGGCTTGTGGATGTGTAGCGTGATCCTGGAGAGGTTGGAAACAACTGGCTAGCTTCTAGAAGCTGACTATGTGTCACCTCAACAAGTTGGGCCATCACAGGCTGCTCGGACCTCGGTCTTGGCCGAGGTGCCCGAGTTGATCTGGCCTGTTGAGGTGGCAGGAAATGCTGAGTCGTCATCCATGTCCTTAGGTTGATCCACGTGTCCGCGTGCTAACAGGTCGGATCAAATTACCCCTCATCATTGACGATTTCACGTTCTTAGGTTGGAGGAGTTTTGATCAGACTAGAGTAGCAGAGGAACAAAGGAAGGGCCAAAGCTCTTAGTCAAAGCAGGGGAGGGAGTAAGAAGAAAGGGAGAGGAATCAACAGTCGGGGGGAGAAGGAAGAAGACGAAGAGAACTTGTCAAAGGGTAAAAATGGAATTTTGCAAGACAATACTTTTAAGTCATCTGACGTGGTACATAGAGAGGAAGGAGGGAAGGGAGCTGGAAAGCCACAAAAAAAAAAAGACAAAAGGAGCGGTGAAGAGATAATGCCACAAAAGGGAGGGGAAAGGAGGACTTTATGGGTGGGGCCCATGGTGGCTCGAGGAACTCAAAGCATCCTCGTCCTATGGGATTAGGTGTAAAGAAAGGGAGGGGTGTAATTGGAAAGAAGAAAACCAGTAGCAAAGAGACAGGTGTTCAAAGAGTAAGAAAGGGAGGGAGGAGTGGGTTTGGGTGATAACGACATTTAGCAAAGACGGGAAGGCTTCAATGGAGGTGAGAGGAAGGAGGAAGAAGAAGAAGAACCTCAAGGACCTTGCACAGTACAAGTTTCAGCCTTGACACTAGTAGTCGAAGTCCAACAAGTCAGAGATACTTCTATTGAAGAAGCAGTGTGTGCAGAGACTCCAAGATGGGAGGAATGAACTGAACAAGTAGCGACTGTGCCTCAGTCTATCGATTCTGAAACAGTAGACAAAACAGACGAGGTAAGTCACACTGCTTCTTCTTCAACAACCCCAACTGAAGTGAGAAGAGTCAGCAAGAGGGAGGGGAAGTGGTAATAGGGGTTGTGAGGGGAAAAGGAAAAGACAGGGAAGCAGAGGATTCCAGGGAACAGCAGAGGGTGTATAATAGGAGGAGATTGTCAGGTCTGTTTAAAGAAAAAGGGGGGGAGAAGGAGTTATTAGGAGGGGAAATGACTTCAGAGGAATTGGCGGACTTGGGGATTAGTGGGTGTGATGAGGGAGGGGAGGCAGGGAAAGGAAGTGGAGTGATAGCTGAAGGAAAGGACTTGGAGTTGAGAAGGATAGTTAACAGAGATGTAACAATAGGGAAGTCTCTCGGACTATTCTTTTGGGGAAGAGAAGGCTTTGTCAAGATTGTAGTTGAACAGTTTGAAAGAAGAAAAATTGAAGAGAAGTCCAAAAAAAGAGAAGAAAGCAAGAAGGAGAAAAGTTGGAACGAAGAAAGAATAGAGGAAGACCAAGTTGTGCTTGAAGAGTGAGCACTAGTCGGAGGGAAGCAACTTAAGGAGGGGGGTGGGGAAAGATGAAGCTGTTAAGTTGGAATGCCAGGGGATGGAGGGAGAAAAAGAGGAGGGATTTGGTTCACAATCTAATAAGAAAACAGAAGCCTGATGCAGTCTTCTTACAGGAAACAAAGTTGGAGGCCTTCAATATAAATCTGTTGCATGAACT